ATCTAAGGCCTGAGGAAAAGACATGGAAAACATGCAAGCAACGCGGGATGCCAAGCCGACTTGGGTGTGCCGACGAGCGCCAAAGCCTTTTCGGCCATGAAGCTGTCGGACCAAGACCATCACCTGGCCGGGCGCGCGCGCCCAACAAATGTCAGCAAGCGCACGCATCACTGCGTGCCAAAACCCTGGGGTTGCGAATCGCTTGCTGGCTGCGTGCAACAAAGTTGTAACACAGAACTGACCGTTTTTGAGCGGACGAACTCTTTTGAACTCTTTTGCACATGTTGCTGCTGCTTGCAAACAGCATCCCGAAGCAAGCGTAGTGAATACTACACTTGCAAAACCCCCACGTGTGAGATCAGAGCCTGCGCGAAGCAAGCTTTCCGTAGGGCATCCCAACATTGGTCTATAGAATGCGATATGTGTTTTTGTTGTGTATATTCAAGAGTTTGCCACAGTTACATACAGAACGCTGATGTTGCTAACTTTTTGACACAAAAACTGGAAAACAACCAATATTATGTGAAAAGTATACTGCTTTGGACACCCTACAAATCAAATCCCCGCAGCTCAAAACATATGCGCTGAGAGTGCTTCACCGTTTGCACATGCTGCTTGATGACCTCCTTCGTCAAGAGATTTCTGTCGCCACACTCCGCCATCGACTGGACCTTGGACATGTCTTCCAGGGGTGTGCGCGGTCAGGTTTCCATGTTATATCTATATATATATATATATTATATACATATATTTAAAATATACGCACATGGCCCGGCCCCATACAAATGGACATCGGTTACAAATCGCTTCAAAGGGACAAAGACTTGCGCCATTGCATAGTTGATGTAAACACAGCCCCCAGCGGAGAAGTACGCGATTTGCCTAAAGTCCTTGGACTTATACTTTTTGGACTTGGGATCTTTGGCACTTACACGCTTGGCCTTGGCATCCTTGGCTGACAGCTTGCCTTTGTTCTTTCCATCGGGAGCCAAGAGTCCATTGTGCACCTTCACTCCGACCGCGTTGCGGGTCCAGTACACAGTGATTTGGAAAGACTCAGGGTGTGGAACCGTCATGTCGAAAGAGTCGTGACCACAGTCGGTCGCACAGCACTCTTCCAAGGCCTCCTCGACTTTACCCCTATAGCTGTCAAGCGCCTCTAGCGCAAGCAGCTTTGTCTCCTTTGCTTTCGACCCCTTCTTTGCTGTCGACTTGGTGGCACTGGACTTGGTCTTTCGATTTGCTTGCTTTGCCTTGCCGCTGGACCCTTTCCCCTTATTCGTGCATGAGGCCGAACTCTGGTTGGTCCTCTTCCTTCCATGTTTGACTTTGCACACTGGACCATGGGACGATGAAGGTTCCTCAACAAGCTCTGCCTCCGGTGCATCCGGTCTAGCGAAGTCTGCCTTTGCAGAAAGCTCAGTGTGCGAAAGAACCACTGGACTTGTCTTGGCTTTGCGGAGCTTGGACAAACCCCTTGAACGACACGGTGAGCTAGCCTTCTTGGTCTTGGTGTTTTTCTTGGCTTTGCATCCCTTGTGTTTGGATCCCTTCTTGCTCCTCTGAGCCTGAGCCTTCTTGCTCTTGGCTTTTCCCTTTCCTTCCTTCTTCTTGTTTCCATCTTTGTCATTTGCTTTCCTCTTGCGTTGTTTCTTTTTGTCAGCGGCTTTCTCAGCTAGCTCATCTTTCAACCCGAATTGCAGTCGCCTTGTCACCGGTGGGTGAGGTGGAACTTCGCAGATTTCCTTCAGGGGGATGAGGGTGCACCAAACCATAGGGCCCAGACAACTCCCAAACCCTTCATCGACGTATAACCGACATAATTTCGACCCATATACATATATCATATATATATATATTGATTTTATGAACAGACACGGTCCTCAGTGTTTCCGGCAGCCTTGGCTTCCAGAATGCCGTCCTCCTTGCGCAACAAAGCCTTCATGGAATCCGTGTTTTCAAACTCTGCGGGAGCAACAGGGAACTGGGTCTCATTGTTGTCCGCTGCCGTCGGAAGGGATTCAACCACCACAGTGGCCGGAGAACCTCCACCGGCGACAATGAAATTGTCATGAATTTAAACATCGTATACTATATCATCACACCAGGATTTGTGCAATCAGTATATCATAGTATATCGATGTATATCGAATATATTTACGAGTGTTGTTCTGAGCGCCTTGTGCAGGAGGCTCAACTGGAGCAGCTGGCTCAGCTGCAGGAGGCTCAACTGGAGGACTTGGTTCAGCTGCAGTTGACCCGTCGGCCGGGGCCCCAGCGGTCAGCGCAGTGTCTGCGAGGCTCAGCCTGAAGGCATGCTCATTTTGTTTTTTGAGCTGCTCTATTGAGCTGCATGCAAAAGAGGTTTAGTGATCATCTAAACAAAACACCTTGTTGTCCAAGAAACATTTCGATATTCTCGAGAACGCTCATGAGCTCCTCCATCATGGAACTCTCACCGGCATGATATGACTCATGGTCAGAATCGACGATAAAGACCTGCCGAGTTGGATGCTTGTCTGTTTTGCGCGCACCCATGAACATGGATGTGTTGCTGCACATGCAACATATAATATGACACATGCAGAAGCGTTTTGTGCAACTGCATCTCTATGAGATTAAAAGTATCATGCACACAAACAGGCCTCCGGGTTACCAAGCTCAGCATGCGAATGCCATTCACCTTCGCCAGGGACAGCTTCTGCCATCAAGGGCTCCTTAGGAACCGGCTTGAAGTGCAAAGTAGCTTGACGAAGTGATTTCGGTGGTCGGTTCCAGAAAACTGCTTGGTTCGTGTATGGCTTGAAATGACAAGCAGCTAGCTCTTCCAAAGTTTGTTGGCGGCGATCTTGACCTCCACCTCCACCTGCCAATTTTGCACCTCCCGTTGATGCACCATCGGCAGCAGCGACTGCAGTTGGGCCCGGCGCAGCTTCTGCAGGGGGTAGAGCAGCCAGAGTTGGCGCCGTTGGCGTGTCCACAGGCTTTGGTGGATCCACTTCAACTCGAGCGCCTGGAGCCACTGCGTCCGCTCCAGATCCATCAGCCAAGGCAGGCGGTGAAGTTGATGCCATTGGTGTGGCCACTGGTCTTGGTGGCAACTCAAAGTCTGGATCGTCCATGACTGGGTACGGCTGGCCCAGCGATGGAGAACTGTTTTTCCGGGCAAACAGCTGAACCTCGATGCCCAGATCCGTGGCCACTTCACGAAGCGCACAATCATCCTGGCATGATTGTTGTGGACTGCTGCACGCAAACATGTTTCATTTATATTTGATCAACTCAACAGGGCAATTCACAAGACCCGACACACATGTGCATTCATGAACCCCGTCCTCAGAAATGAACTTGCGATGCAACAAAGTGTTCTTGCCCAATGACAAGAGGCGACGGCAAGCCCAGGCTTCTTGGTAGAGCGTATCATATGCCACCGTGACTTTTGCACATGAGTATAGAGTTCTAATCTCTTCAATCACTGCGTCAATCATTGGCAACACCAGGCCATGAGCCCGCACTCTTCGACAAAGAGGCGCCAACTCTTCTCGATTGAAGCGGACGTTGTTCAAAGTACGTTCAACGTACCTGTTGGTCAACCGACCAGTTTCTCCATCGTAGTGCATGAAGATGTGATCGCCTTGCCGCACTCTTTTCCTCAACTCTGGTACCTGGTCCCACTCATCATGCAATCCCTGCAAGGAGTAGTGAGCCGTTTTGTCACTTGGGGAAGCCGATCGAGAAGCCATGGCACTATAGGTGGAAACCCCCCAAAAAGGTCGGTGGTTGCTATTTGGCCCCAAGCAGCTGCTCTGCAGGCGAAAGAGCGTTGATCTTTGAGCTGCAGCTTTAATCTGAGAGGATGCCAAGTTGACTGCAAACACCACAGCACCTACATATAATCATAATTGTGTGTGTTGAAACTCAAATATATGCCAACAGACTTGACACAATTCGAACTTGCACGATCATTTGCATCTGGAACTCCAAATAAGTTGAAATTCACTCTCATGCGCCATGGGTGCATGCACTTCAAAAGCAGCTGAAAGAAAACTATGACAGCGCGACCTGGTTCTTGCAGATGATGCCATGCCATGGGCCAGTCGAATTATGAATTAAGATACCACCCTTGTCCATGGACCATGTTATGTCTTTTTGTCGTTTTTCATAAACTCAGATTGCCTCTGGCCCATCTCTGGCCACGATATAGGATCTATGTTTCAACCTACAATGCTCCGGCACTCCTGCATCTGGCGCAGAAAAGTGGGCAGTGGCTGGCCGTGGCAGCATGGACAGTTCAAAGATCAGGAACATCAAATTCAGTGAATTTTGATATTTCGGGAAGTCCATCGAACTCCACCTTTTTCGGGAAATCAGATTGGACTGTCTATGCTCGAACGATGCTCGAACGGTAAAAATCGGTCGGTACAAAAAAAAGCATTGGATCACGAAAAATGAACTTATTTCCAACATGAGAAGGAATTTCAACATATTCGGAGGTCCAGGTAGGAACAAAAGGCATCGCTACTAGGAGCGATCGGAAGCTACTAGGGGCTCCTGGCCTTACTACTAGGAATTGTTTCTACTAGCTTCTTGTTACTACGAGTAAGGCACTTGTTACTACTAGCGATGCACTTGTTACTACTAGCAAGGACGCTACTAGGTTGGAGGCCATCGATGTTCGAAGATCGAACTTTCCGACCCGACAGGGGTGGAATTCTCGGGTCTGAAGGGGTTTTACGAAGGTTAGATGCCCAAAGGTTTCGTTTCTGCATCGCTGGTCCCCAAAGAATACAACTTATTGCCGGTGGAGCAAGGCAAAATCCATTCCAAGCAACAATAGTTTCATATGTCCACTAGGCCCAACAAACAAGACAGTTTGCTAGCACTCTCTTTGCTAGCACTCTGTTTTGGAGGGCAGGATTTATTGTGCCAATCTTCCAGGATGTATGGTGTTTTCCTTGCGTTTCCTTCCACTACTGGGGTTCTGCAAATCACCAAGTTACTGTCGCATTGCTGGGAAGCACCAGCAGAAAGACCTCCACGCCTAAGGCGTCCTTGCGAAGGACTCATCGCATCGCAATGGCACCCGAAGCGCTCGAAACTCCCGCAGTGAGGTTTAGCTCGAAATGGTGAATGACGATGAAACAAAGGAGCAAAACACATGCGATGGTGTCCAACCTACTAGCGATGGCCTCCAACCTACTAACGATGCCCTCCAATATAAAGACATGACTGGATCGTAATTTATGAAACAGCGTGATCGGTCCATTATTATATAGTAGGTCCATCACATGCCGATGACTGGACTGGCTCATGCAAACAAATATATAAAAGCCTCTATAGTATGGAGATGTAAAGCTATTCCGGAGATGGGGTCCGTGACTAAATCTACATTGAGCAAGTTCGTGACTAAGCAACTTTTGACGGCTCCGGTCTGCCGAGCTTCTCAGGTGGAACTCAACGTCACTGCATGTATGATGACGAACAGCTCAAAGGCTTTATGAACTTCCACAAATGGCAACAGGATCGCCAAATCCAATAGTGCTGCGTAGGGAGGGCTTTACCGACATTACTTATCGAGTGGTAAGCTTGGCTGGAATTGGTATATGGATAAAGAAGCAGAAGCTGTCGCCATGAGTGGACCTGTATGTGTTGCTGCCTTACATTTGGACCACGCATTGAAAGAGGGGCTGGCAAGCGAGTTGCCTCATGTGGATTGTAGTGTGTTTCAGGATGTTTCAGGGTTTTTTGTCACCTGAAATCATCGATCACAAACTTGGAATATATATATATATATTATGTATTTCTATAGGCATATATAGGCGAAGAAAAACCATGAAAATTGGAGCAAGGGTATTATCAGAAAACAGCAAATCTGTTGCCTCTGTCAAACAAGCTTGACTAATCAATCCCCCAGGTATGTGGCCCCATGGCTCCTGCAATCTCACCGGCAAGTTTGGCACTTGAAGCTTGCGCCGCATCTCAAGTTGTACCTTCTCAACAAAAATATCACAGGTCTCGTGGATGAATGTTTGGAGTCTTTCAAAGACTTGGTGGGTTGCACATTGGGCAATCTTGCGCTTTGCAATGAGGTTGAATGGACTAGTACATTTAATTTCCTGTCTAGATAATGGAGCATCATCAAATCGAACAATGGACAGGCAAGAACCCACTGGCACATCAATGAACAGGCGATCTTGGATGTTGGAACTGATATTGGTGTGCTTCTGGATTTTTGAGGCCATTGTCAAATTGTTAGGAGCAAAATCGCTAGCACCACCCCATCAAACTTGCAAATTGAAGAGGACTTCCTCATCTTCAGGAGACTTTCAAAGGACATCTATTGCTTGTAGAGATATCAAACATGCACTTTGATTTGGTAGATCAACCTCTTGAACAAAAGCAAGCAGCTTAGCCTCAAATTCATCGAAAACCATGCGTGCCGATGCACTCCAACAAAACTTCCCAAGAAATGTAGGCATGCTGAGCATATGCTGAGCATTGCTGTCATCCCCTATGAGCCTCCTCTTCCCAGAGATGGTCAGAGACCTCGAGCCCGCAGTGCTCAGCTAGACAAATGCGCGCGTTGTGCAGCACCGACTCAGTTGGGCTCTGAGCCTCGACAGCGATGGCGATGGCCTCCACCCTAGTAGCGATGGCCTCCACCCCTAGTAGCAATGGCTTCCAACCTACTAGAACCCACTTGACCTCTGTTGGGAAAAAGAACATGTTTGGCTTCAAAACAGGGGACATCAGGGGACACTCATATTCCAGGAACTGACGGTTTACCGGTTACTGCATATTTTCGACCAAACGATACGAGCAGGACTGCTTTGCGATCCAAACCCGTGAACCTTTATTCACAGGTTTCATTTGCTTCCGGACCTGTGGCTGGATTCTTCGGCTCATTCCCTAAGATCCGTCAATGAGTCAAAGAACTACAGCAGGAACAACAGTAGTGTTCTTTACCCATTGTGCTTTCCCTCTGGACTCTTTGGACCTTTTCTTTTTCCTTCCTTCCTTCCCTTTCCCTTCCCTTTCCCTTCCCTTTCCCTTCCCTTTCCCTTCCCTTTTCCTTGCCTTTCCCTTGCCTTTCCCTTGCCTTTCCCTTGCCTTTCCCTTGCCTTTCCCTTGCCTTTCCCTTGCCTTTCCCATGCCTTTCCCTTCCCTTCCCTTTCCCTTGCCTTTCCCTGGCCTGGCCTGGCCTTGCCTTGCCTTGCCTCTCCTCTCCTCTCCTCTCAATTCCTTCTCTTGGCCCCTCTGCTTTTGGGTCTTTTTTGACATGAACCCCTAAAGCTGCACTCTGATACCCTTTCCATGCGGTACCATCTGGAACACAGTTACAGTGCTTGCAACCTACAGCGAGGGGTCAGTCATGGAGAATCACCCGCGCCTCGGACTGCGCTGTGATGCAAAGGTCGATCTGATTCCAAAGGTTTCTCCTGCCGGTCGATCAGGGCAAGGACCCGCAAATGATCCCCCCATCAGCCACCACACGTCCTAATCATATATATATATACATATTAACTTATTAACTTTTCCTAACTCTTGAATTATTGAAATGATGATTGACTCACAACAAACATATTTTTAATTAAGGTCTCTTGAATTCTCTTGAACTATCGGAAAAAAACACCTGGAATAGGATAAAGTTCTTATTGTCTTTCCTCAATGTCGTGAGCGGCATTGCCCGGGCCTTTTGCGGGCCTCCTCACCCTCGACTTCTTTGATGCTGTCCCAATCAAAGGGCAAATGCACTGATGCCAAGCAGAAGTACTCCTGGAAGGCAAGCAATTTGACAAGCCTCAAACACCTGCAAACCTAAAGCATCAGTTCCAGCTTGCATTAGACAGGACGAGGTGTTAGTAGATTCTACAAGTTTCAAGCAGTTTATTTTGGCCAAGAAACATGCTGCTAGCTCTGAGGTACAGCTACGAGCTAGAGCTAAATCAGTATGTTCCTACTGCTCTTGGCCCTCAGTGTCTGGTGCCGACAGAGCGATCAAATGGCCCAGTTCCTCTAAAATGTATACACTCTGAAGAGGCCGCGGTCAGGGGATCTTAAGAGTAAATGGCACAAAGGAGAGAAATTTGGCGTGAAACACCGACGATGTATAGATTCGCGTGGATGTATAGATCCGAAGTCATTGGATACCCAACGTCACTCCCAACGTCCTATTCTTGAGCCATACCCACATACGAACATGTGAGACCTGGGTGATCTTCCTCAGACTCGCTTTGATCGGGCGATGACATCTTCGCTTTATCAGACCGGCCTCAAGTTTCTTGAGACCTTCCTCTGCCAGCTTCAGCATCACTTGCTTCCTTGACCAAGCGACTCGAAGGTGGCGCGCGTGTTTTTTTTTTTTTCTCTCTTTTTTGCGCTTTGAAGCTTCGTCCGTCATCCGAAATGTGGACTTGGTTGCTGTTTTTTTGGAATACTGAGTGCAATGATTGCCGGTCCACAGTCAGAACAGAATCTTGGCCTTGCAGGAATCAAGAGGTTTGTAATGTCGTCTGATGTTTTCTCCTGAAAAATGTCTTGCCATGAAGAGGTTTTGCCAATGAGACTTCCCTCATGTGCGCTCGAACGAAACACGACCAAATGTTCTGACTGCTTTGACCCTCTTTGCATCGCTGCATCCATGTTGCAAGTAAGCCACCCTCACCGCCACGCTGATGTCCTTGCGGAAGCTTTGGCCCAATTCCCGCAAGCCTGCGACATCAGAGAGTGAGCGACTGGCAGCTTCACTCTCAACTGTCTAAATGGCCGTTCATGGCCATTGAGACTGCACAGTGAGGATTTGAATCCCCGCATATATCCACATATATATAATATATAATATACTTGTGGTTCGTGTATGCAGCATGCACAAATACTACAGTAGCGCCATGTATGTATATAGAATATGCTACCTCATCACCCAGCTGGTTCTTGCAACCCTCACATGAAGAGACTCATTGGATGGAGACTTGCATCGCCTCTCTTTGTCGCTGCTACTAGTAACAACAAGGGCATCGCTACTAGTAACAAGGGCATCGCTACTAGTAGCTCTTGCTACTAGTAGCGATGCCCTTGTTTTCTTTCAGGAAGAGAGACACAGGAACACACCATGCAGTACCTAGAATGCTGACTCCTCGAGGCGTGCAACAAAGGAAACAAACATCTGATGTTTTACTTGTCATGTTCAACATACCTTTTACTTCCCAACAGGGGGCCTCGCCAAAACCTATGCTCGCTGGACCAGACATCTTGCGTTCGACGTAATGCATACCCTAGTGAACATCATCAACATGTAAACTAGTTTTGCTGGCGGTGTTCACCTAACATGGTTTGTGGTCTCACACGTGCGACGAGTTCGGCGCTTGTTACATATGCCTTGCCTTCCGGGCTTAGGTAGTAGGAAAGTCAGTTTTGTTGACTTACACACTGAGAGGAGAGTAGCAAACGAATCCACTCGGTATCAAAGCAACGTAAACAACGCACCAAACTTACAAAGACAACGCAGCTAGAATGGTCCGTCGGGATAGAAATGGAGCAAAAATTCCTTGAGGCCCTCCAAAAGCGGCATACCTTATAGCTCATCGCTAAAGTGGAAACGGAGCTTGAAAGGAACTTCCTCAAGCTCATCATTTTGCAGAAATCGGTGGTTGGACGGGCAATTTAAACGGTGTGTTCGAATTGAAGGGTGGGTCACAGTCTCGATCCTCAACATACTTTGTAAAGCTTGCCTTGTTGTCGCAACTGAGTTTGGCAAGTGTTTGCTTTGCGGAGGTCGATACGAGTACGAGCGTCTGGCTGCTAAGTGTCTGCGATGTTTGTACTACGGTGCAAAAAGAGTATCCGCTTGCAAACGCGGGCACCTTTCTGTGGGAGGCAGCATCTGGATTCATTTGGGAAAGCCTCTAGGAACAAGGACGCTACTAGGGGCTCCTGGCATCGCTACTAGGAGCAAGAATGCTACTAGGGGCTCCTATGCAGCCGGAGCCCTCCTGGGGAGAGGAGTGGCTGAGACGGAGTGGCTTCGCCATTCATTAAGCCATTCGTCAGCTTCAGACAAGCGTAACCTGGAATGAACATAGGCCTTAGCCGCATTAGCAGGGTCATGATTCATGATTCGTGTTGTTATTGACCACTGAGCAGGCTGATTTCTTTTGCAAACATAAGATTCTCTTTTTGAATTGGATCAAGTACTTGCGATTGCGGGAATGATCTCTGCTCGCTCGGTGGAATGCTTGTGCCCATGCACTCCCTCATCGGAGTGTCCATGACCCATCAGAATATACTGTATAATATGGAGCTGGCTATCGAAAGGTGATTGGGACAAGCATCATTGATAGCACCGATTGGACTCATGACTCCAACAAACAAAAATAGCAACGGTGCTGATCCACAAAAAACCTAGAACTCATGTTTAACAGCAACAGCAGCCTACCATAACGGTGATATCCTCCCATCTGCCCTTTTTGCTTCATATCTTCAGACACACAAAACATCCGCCTTTATCCACTCCTTCGGCTGCACAGCGTGCCAAACCCTCCACGCAGCTGGCGCAGGGGACTGGCAGCAGCTGCTGCGGTGTGGTGCGCTCCTCGTGTGATGCATTGGTGGGTGCTTTGCTGGAATGGTACAGGATGGATTCAGTCAGGGGTGCTGAGAATACTGGTGAAATGCGGAACCTTAGCGAAGACTGGGGGACCTAAAGAAATCGGATTGCCAGACCTGACCAGAGGTCTCTGATGGTTTTTGCAAACACTTTGGACTAAATCCCGAACAACTTGGAGAACAACCTGCCACACCACTGCCTTGTAAAACTTATATAGTCCTTATGCGAGCTACTCTGGCACGCGGATTAGACCCATCAACAAATGAACCGTGGCCTGGTTGCGGAACCTGCGTACTGACATAGTGATTGGTGAATCCAACAAGACACTTACTCAAAATTCAATCCAACAATACACTTATCCAAAACACAAACTATTGTAACCTTCCAATCAGCAGAAACATGGCCCCTTGCTCCCGGACCAAATCCATTCATTCTAGTCTAAAAGTGTAACAAGTGGGTTCGCATCTTTGATTTTTAGAATACCACTATAGCGTCGACTACTACACATATATATATAAGATATAATATAGTACAGTATAGTACAAAATGATAACACATACAATATAATATAAGAGTAATTAACAGTACTATATTGTATATATATATATATATTATCTTCATCCTTATTCGACGCCTTCATGTAATTTATGAAGTTTCGCCTTAAGGCCACCCCCCCACAGAGCTCATCTGCCGTTTTACGGTGTCCGACCTGTCACTTTGTTGGAGACTGAATGAAGATATCCATGATTTTCCTACTGCACCCATTGGGGTTTCAACCCACAAGGTCTACGTCTACTGTATAGGACAAATATGAGAAAACGATCACATTTCTTTCGACATTTCATGGAGATCCCGAGGTCCGTGGGTCTCCTCAGTGCTGGATGGTCCGAAATGCTTCTGGATTTGGGCCATCTGCTCCTTGGTGCCTGAGCAGCCCCCATTGCAGTGGACGAGGGACAGTGGGTGACCCTCGGGTGGGAGATGCGAAGTGAAGGGTTTTTCAGGGAGTGAGTGTGGTCGAACTACTTCGGCCTCCACCCGTAAACTGCATTTGGTCAATATGCGGTGAAACACATGTGGCTGAGCACAACTTGGGGAGATCCACCAATCCTTGCATTCCAAAACTTATACGTACCAATATGGGGGTGTGTGTGTATTGATATAGGGAGACCCCGGCAAAGACCGACAGTAAGAACAAAAATCAACTGAATGTCAGTGGTGAGAGGAGGGTCTCCCCATGCTGATACATACCTATATTACACAATGTCAACATTGAGCCTACTAGTGCCCACTGCAACCCTACTTATTACCAACTACTCTACCTCCTCTATTGATGAAACCCTCTATAGCTATGTTTCAACGCCCCATGTTGAGTTCTTCGATGGTGTAGGGCAATTGAACGGCTCGCATCTTGAGGGAAACACACAAAGAACCTAATATATAAGTGTTGAGGAAAGCAGTTCCATCCACAATCAACATTTGCTGATGACTTCCACCGAAACTGAACGCAAGAGACCCAAAGACACATTGCAACGACCGACCGAAGTGCTTGCTGGGTTTAGGGTGCTGCAATCAAAACCTTCACAGCATCCAGCCCTCAGTCCTGTTCGCAACAAGATGGAAGGGACACCCGAAAACAAAGGCCGTGATCTTCTCGCAATCTTCGACCGCTTCATTCATCGTTGTGTCTTTCGGGTTGAGCGGAAAACATGACCAACCCGCGTTGTCCTCACCGCGAAAGGAACCGTCTTCGGTCGACCTTCGAGAGCCATCGGACAAAACATACAACAGGAAAGGAACCTGTAAGAGATGCAACATGTTCAAAGGGCAAGGCAAGGCCCTGAAAAAAATAAAAAAACAAAAACACAACAACAAACAACATGATGAACGGACATGAACAATATCTGAACCCAGAACCCGAGGCAGCCTTCACATTGAGACTCGACGAGCAGAATAGATTCGTATCAGCACGACGGTATCCTGCCTAAATATATCCACTTCCAAACGCACCGGAACATCTAGTCAGGAAACCTAAGACCAGCGTTGTGGCAGCCCTTGTCCCCCGCTTGGCCACGCCAATTTACCTCTCTCAACCGCCTTGTCCGGGTATGTTTTCGTGTGGCCATGAATGCAATAGAGATGCAGCGTTTCAAACAATTTGATATCTACTTCTTGCCCTCCTGTCGTCCAGTTCTTGCGCTCTTCTTGACCTTCTCCCGTCCTCCTATTGTCCTCTTTTCTTGTCCTTGTTTTGTCATGTTTTGTCCTTGCGATGTCCTCTTGTTGGCCTTCGGCTGTTTCCGGGTCTTTTTTAACTTTTGCAGCATTGAAGATCTCGGACCTTTTGAAACACTGTTGTTTGTAACAACTGATAAAGCAATTCGAGTCTTACAACTCGATCACTGACAAAATTATGTAACAAAGTGGAATTCTATGGAATGCTGCTCTGCATTCCACTATATTGTATCATTGTATCCTCCTTGTTTCAACGATTGTTTCCTATACGTTGTGCTGCCCCAGGGGTCGGGCCCCAAGGCCCTGAAATCTCAAAAACAGTATATATATAATATATATAACTAAATAACTAAATATATATATATATGTACACATCCATATTATACTATACCTATTGGTTATTCACCCAGGGGGGGTTCTCATGGTATCTCCATTCTGCTAACCAACCAATCCTTTCCTCCTGCGCCGGCGGGCGATCCCCTAGTCCCAGCGGCCGATCAGCAAGACACCCACGTTGGGGAGCTCGTCCGGTGCCTTCGGCGTGTGAAGGCGATGGAAGGCATGGCATGTTGAAGTGGGCAAGGGACATGTTGCACGGTTCTCATCAGTGGCTTGCCAAATCAGAAGTCCTCGAAGTTTATGGTACGGTTGGACAAATTGAGACTGTTATCGATTGGATAGAAAATACATGGTGCACGTGCAAGCTGATAGACTCGATTGAACGATAGACTCTATATATAGATCCAGATTTGGCGGATCTTTGGCAGATCTTTGGAGAGGTGGTCAAAAAGCGTCAAAAGATGCGTTGTGCATTGGCCTGGGATTTGAGATTACTAATTGATGCGAGTTGGCAGGTCAACTCAGCAACTCTTGGTCCTGACCTTTGTTAAATATTTCATACCTGCACATCTAGGAGGCCATGGTGTGCGTGTGTGTTATTATTTGTTTAAAAGAACTCTACAAATCTCTACAATATCTAATATCAGCTTTGGTTGATTCCAGAGTATTCCAAACATAATATATAAAACATTCAGCCTCTTCCCTGTGCGAAGCTAGTAAAGCTCGTGAAAGTACATCCTTTGTGGAATTGTGCAGGAAGAGTGTGCACACCTATAAACAAACATGTGCAAGGGCTCAAACTAACATGCCATGATGACTAAGGAGGGAAGCTGCTACAGCATTTCTAGACCCAAAACGTCATTGGTTCCAGTTTCGTTGACACCGGTAAGGCCAGGATCTCTTGAAGCTCTTGCATGCTTTTCATCTGCACAATCATAATCAACCAATCAAATTCAACAAAATCACTGAACAGCTTTCCTTCCTCCAGGTCCCTGAGCCCCTCCTCACAAAGAAAGCACCGTCTGTCACTCTCGAACAAAAGCATGACCAACTAATTGCACAACTGTGTTCCTTCCCCAAAGATGCCAAAACCAACCCAAACGAAGCAAACCTGTCTCCAAGTCTGACTTAGGTGGTTTTAACATCCATATCAATCTCAATATCACCAAAACGTTGCTTTTCTGGTGCTTCAACTCCAACCAGGTCACGGTCTGTTCCTCACCCTCTTCGAGCAGGAACTGCCGCAACCACTCGGGTTTGGCCACATGCAGCTGTTTAGACTGGAAATCCACCACCGCGTCGGAGGCGTCCCGGACCACCATGTGGGTCTCCTCCATGTGACAAATCGCTTGTGGGCGCAACCAGCGGCAAACTATTGTGACTAACAACAAGTCATTGTATATACATACAAGCACCTGTTGGGTGTTACAGTAGCACTGGAAGAGTAGTAACAAGATTGTCTATGGTCATTTTACAACCATTTGACCAGCAATTCAGAGACCATTTTTGACTGTCTTAACAATCAAAAACACATTTAAATACTGTCAACACACATGCATCACGTATCTGTCTTCATATGCTTGAGCTTGACATTGCCCAACTAAATCCATAACGCTTTATTCGATGCTCAGTGGCTCAGTGTTGCATAGTTTTGCTACACCACCCAATGCTTGAAAGCACAAACAACGACCAAGGTGTCAACCTGCCGTCGCGCACACACAAGCTCTCACACACACACACAAGCCACACAAACTAGAAAGAAACAACAGCGATAAGTAGTACAGTAGAGTACTGTGGGCAGTCCAATGAACTGCTCAGTCATGTTTGCCGCAAATGGTCCACTCATAGATTGAGAAAGCAAAACAGTGGAGTGAAATCTGCCACTATCTCTTAAGGTGGCATTCATCCAGAAAGCTGCACCCAGTAAGCCGCCCAGTCATGCCCAGCCCAGTCCTCGTCTTCCACCCAGTAGTTGTCCACTGCATCGAAGGTGTCGTAGATGATGCCCCTCCGGAAGCCGTCCTCCGCCTCGTACATCACCACCGTGCCGACATCCAGGTCATCTGATGCCAACACGACGCGTCTGGAACATCATCTTTGGCAGAACAAACAAGTGTGCAATCTGTAAGCTGCTAAGTCGCTAATTGTTTGAAAGACAGCAACATAAAACAACCACTGGTTCTTTGTAGTCATTGTTCTTTGTCTGGGATCATTCCCATGAAGCCGTCTGAACCCATCTGTCGAAGTGCAATGGCGTTTGTTCGGAACAGCAGCTCGGCACCTGGTCCTGCCAGCAACCACTCTGAGGGTGGCTCCGTCTTTCGCCGTTTGGAGGATGGCAAAACCATGGCACACAGCCAGAGTGTTTGATGCCAGTCCTTGTTGGACTCAGATATTCTTGGGTTGCGTAGGGAGGCTCCAGTGCCCAGCGTCTAGATTTAGATTTGCCAGACCAGAATTGCAGCGTTCTTGGTTAAGCTGGCTACAATCTTACTGTAGGCTGCTTCATCCGGACGTTTGAGCCCATCTCTGCTGGTGACCGAAAACAACCAACCGAGTGAATTGCAATGGCTCAAGGAGGAACACCCAAACAGGGTCCACCAGGGTCGCTGGGTCGGGGATTCCCCAATAGTCTGACAGGGGAAATTCATCGAAATGCTCCCCCAGACCTGTCCTTCCACGCTGGTGAAAATGCGTGGGTATCAGAACCCCCACACATTCACATAAATATAAGATGACACAATTGTAATTGTATATATGCGCAAACCATGGAACGCCTCTACTCTGTGATGGGGACCGCCTTGTGTATCGCAGACGTTCTGGGCTTCGGCCGACAGCCCAACATTCGGTCATGTCTTCATGGTTGTCCGGGGTACAGCGATGGTCTTAAGTGAGAAGAAGTTGGGAGTTCCAACACAACAACTTGTACAGTAGTCTTCTTCTGCAAAGTTGGATAATGCACTCCCAATAAGGACAAAACTTCTGCAAGGCAAGTCATTCCAGATTATTTATAGTACAAACAGTATTTGTACATTAGCAGGAACATGCATGGAACATATCGTTGATGGATGGATCAAAGCGTTTCAAAAAAGCTGTGAGAGTCATGCAAGCCCTGCGAGTCATTGATGATGTGGATGTTCTAGCCACAGCTGCTGCTAATCAGGCCTGGCCTCCTATCAAAACAAGTGTCGCCAATGTGCATGCCACTCACACATTATCATCTCACCTTAACTTTAGAGTCTTTAGAGATGAATGGGCAACATGCATGGTCAAAAAGCATCACGCAACCTTACAAAACAAATGATCTTCATAAACATATAACGACCTTAATTGCCTATATATACATGTGTTTTTCTATACCCAATGAACGTTTTTGGTTTGATGTTCAATGAAGAGGTCCAAAGGTTGGCGCCTGGTGCACCATGACCTGCACGAGAAATCCACTCTCGGGTCCCAGACTTGCTTCTGGCGACCATCAAGAACTTGTGCACTGGGATGACCTATCGACGAAGAAAACAACCACTATAGGCTATAGGTTTCTGGGTGTGAGATGTCTTCTGCCTGCCAGAAACTATCTTCCCATATCTTCCGTGTAGCTCGAGAGCTGATCCACAATCAAAAATTGATCGAAACAATCGTAGCTCGTCAGCTCGTCTTTTTCTAATTACTCGGGCAACCTCGCACTGCCTCATAAAACCAAAAAGCTGGGTTCACCATGGTTCACCTATGTTCACCTCATGTTTAAAGAGACAACATCTATGGACAAGGTGACAAGTCTATGGAGGAATCGGAGGCTCAACGCCCGAATCAGTCCTGGCACAACTCGGCCCATCAAACAAAAGCACAACAGATCGTCTAGCACACCGCCGTCATGGCCATGGCCTCGTCTTGGACAACAACCTCGAAGTCTGGAGATATCTCTTCAACCAGCAAACGCTTCAAGTCCTGGATGACATGAGGGGGATGTGCTCAAACATCTTCGTTTCGTTCCATGAAACGTGGCCCCCTTTTGAGCAGCAACCAAGTCTTTGCTGCGTGGAAAGGACCCTCGGGTTACTATTACTATGAGGAATGGTGCCCTTATAAGTACTGAATGATACCGATTGACAACTACAGTAAATTGTGTCAATGCTCAACCTTTTTCCCAAGTGGTGGTTTCTACAGGGTTTGCCACACAAAAGAGTTAATGGACTGAATTCTTTGGCAGCTGAGATGAGAAATTCACCACTACTTTAGGCAAACCAAAGTTTCAATTCTGTTTTGTGTTGGCAGCTGTGGGACAGTCAATTATCAAGCTGAGCCACTTGAAATCTATCTGTATAAGAAAGGACTTCCTGCAGAATGACTGCAAGTCTCATCTTCTTGTAGGGTTCTAGGGGGAAAGGTGAGTGATCATGTGCGAACTTCAAGAAACGCAGTTTTTGTCTAGCAAAAGAATTGGCAGTGTTTTGAGGTCCCGGCGGTGCCATGTCTTCCCCCAGTGAGAGTCGTGTCCCTTCAACTCTATTCCTTAAACCCTGCTATCTGCTGACATGCAATTTTGGCTTCGCTAGCTTCGTTCTTGCAGTATGCAAAACTAACGGCCTGGGGTGAACATGCGTGAACAACACAGCCGGCCTGCCCCAAGGTGGAAGGCGGAAGCAATTGCCTTGGTCAGTCAACCAGAATCTCTGAGGCCACAAAGGCGGTCGCCGGCGGTTGGTTGTCAATCAACGATGAAGGTAGGTAGATGCATAGTTGGGAATCCAGCATATCATGGTTGCAATTGCAAATCTCTGCATGAGATCAAAGTCCTGCACATGTGTACCCTGAACAACCTACCTCAGTGGTGTCAGGAATAACATTGTTGTTTTTGTACATGGTCCGACAATGTATTCAAGAATAAAGCTTGCATGGTGTAGTATGCACTGTGCAATTATAGATGTGTCTGAACACACTTCTCTTCAAAAACACAAGCTAACGCACACGCACACATGCATGGGAGATCATGGGAGTATCTTGCCGTCTTACCCCTGCCACGAAACATGATGCAAAATCAACGCAACAGGGGGAACAGTGCACAAAGGAGCACCAAAACGGTACCGTGTTGTTTGAAAACTCGATCCCACCACAGCTTTTATCTAACCTCTACAGCGCCACTGCTGCTTTCTGAGCAGAAATCATTTGTTGTGTAAGGTTGTGAAATTCAAGTCGCTTCACAACGACAACCGCCCGGATCGTTGGCTACGAGAAAGAGCGCAAGGAAAAGTGATTCATGTCCAAGCCAACACCCCAGATGATGCGCAACCGAATGAGCAGGACTCTAGATGTTTATTGTATAGTTTATTGAAACATATCTAACCACATTGTCTATAGTCTCCAATCTTCAAGCCCCATGAAAGTGTACAATTTTCAGGGAGTCCAACTGGTATCCAACAAAGCCTGCTATTTTAGTACCGTTCACCTCTAAGTCTTATATTGGTCATGCAAATTGTAGTCATATTGTAGGTTCTTTTGTGTTTCCAGAATCACCACACAATGGATGAGTGAAAGAAATCAACAAGTAACAATAAATAAACAGATTGCATGGTTGGATGTAGGTTGTGCCCGCTGAAACATGTACAATTCCAAGCAGGTTGAAAATTATTGTGATTACAATCGACTATACACTATGCATGATGACCCTGATGACAAGCAGCATGCAGTTGATGAATCTCATTGAGGTCTTGCTATTGCATCACTTTGCATCACCAGGTCAATGAAAGGCATACCAACGACTCTTTTCAACAGTTTGGATTATTTGTCATTGCAAGCATACCACTAAATTTCCTGTCCCAGATCGTATGGCACACCACCAAAACCTCCTGTTTTGCCTATATTTTTTGCATGGTTTCTTCCCCTCCAAACACACCTCATGACCTCCTCTTGGTTCTGCTGTTTGCAAAACCAACAAGATTGGACCAAAGCCTCAAGTTCCTAGTCTTCGTGTGCAAAAGGTAGAGATTCATGACTATGTATGTGCGTCGTAGCTTACACTGTGGACAAACCGTAGGTTTTGGCGCACCCTCCCTTCAATGAAAACCCAGCCAGATCGAAGGTGCTGCTGTACTACTGCTGCTGCCGTCTTGTGCAGTCTGACTTTGGCGTGCAGACTGACTGGCTCGACAAAAAACTAGACGCATGGCCGCTCGATATGCTATGGTGGAAAACACATGAAAACACTAAACACCTCATCATGTGTTGGACTAGTTTCTGAAAGGAATCTTTATCCTCACTACCTTAGCAAACAGTTCCCTGTACTTTGTTCTTTCACCTTTCACTTGTTTCGTCTTGGTGTCAGAAGGAATGCTAGGTGATTGTAAGCAATCATCTGAAAATAGTGGCCTACGGAATGTGGCTACGATAAACCATTGTGCCAAATCGCCTATGCGCGGTCTACCGCCCCCAGGAAGAATGCCTATGTATGCATTCGATCCAAAACTTGGCTCATCTGAGGCCTTGGCATCTCTGGCGCGGAATGCCAGCTCTCCTGAAAGAAGGAAGATGGACACTGAGTTGTGCAAATCATTTAGAGGTGCAGGACCTTGGACCTTTCCTTAGGTTTCCTTTTCTTCATGTCGGAGGACTCCACTGCTCGACATCTACTGTAGGCCCCGCCTTCTCAGAGTCCCGCCACATGGGGCTTTGAGCCTCAACCCCCCGCGGTGCGTGTGGAGAGCCTGGTTCCCATATTGACAAGTCTCGTTTGGTTCCAAAGCCCATGCGTCAAACCCATATGGAATTTGAACACCACTGTTTGTGTCCGAGATTGCAACGTCAGTTGAACTATCAGCGTCGAACATCACATCTTGTTGATGTATTGTTGCTCCATCTATGGAACGCTATGGTTGATCCGCGACTGGAGAGCTAGGAACTTGGGTTCCGGTCAACTTGCACGAACCTACGTTGATGAGGGTGTCGTTGCTAGGGTGTGTCTCAATATGATAGGTCGGGAAACCCTCAACAAAACAAGTAAAAGGGAACATACAAGATGGACACCCAAACCCCATTGGACACCATGTAAAATCAAAATCCATCATTTCGGCTAGATTAAACGCAAGTTGGACTGCATTGTGACCTTGCATGAAATAAAGGAGGGATGATTTGCAATCTTACATCAATCCATAAGTAACCGCAAGTACCTACATGCAACTGTCTTATCATGACATGTCTCGCATGTCTTTCATGCAACGTGCACGCGTCTGCCGAAACAATGCGTTAGCAGAACACATTAATACTACAGTATAGATCCTACTGTATGGGTCTGCACCCGACAAATGGGTTGAAAGATGTTGAAAGTATGTTCACCGAAGACGTCGAGACCATAAGC